CATCGGCGTGGCGGGTCAGGTCGGCCGTCACCTCGACGGGCCGCACGGCGCCGTCGCGGGCGACGCAGGCCGTCCGGCACTGCAGCCGCCCGTCGCGCACCGCCGTGATGAGGTTGCGCCCGGCCAGGCCCGTCGTCGTGTCTTCGCACGCAAACACTTCCCAGACCGGGCGGCCCAGCGCGTCGGCGGCCAGCCAGCCGGTGATGCGCTCGGCCACCGCATTGATGCGCGTGACGCGGCTCTCGCCGTCGGTCGTGATGTAGCCGGCGTCGATGGCCGACAGCGTGGCGGCCAGGCCCTGCTCGGTTTCGAGCAGGTGGTCCTCCGCGCTGTGGCGGCGGTCCATCTCGCGGCGCAGCGCCTCGTTGGCGACGCGCATCTCGTCGACGGACGGCAGGGTCAGCAGCTTGGGGCTGAGCCGCCAGGCGGCGATGGCCGTCAGCACCGACGCGCAGGCGGTGATGAACTTGCCCGCCGTCTGCAGCTCGTAGTCGGGGCGCCAGATCGTCCACACGTCCAGCACGTGCGTGAGGCCGCAGGCGAAGATGAAGACGGCGAACAGCGTCGCCAGGCTGCCGAGGTTGACCTGTGGACGCTGGCGCGCGTAGTTCGCGATGACCAGCGGCAGCGAGAAGTAGGCCAGCGCGATGGCGAGGTCGGACCCCACCATCGTCCACAGCAGCCCCGGCGACCACTGGAAGCAGTAGCCATGCGGCAGGAAGCCGGCGCGCGCGACGATTCCGGTCAGTTCGTCCATCCACGTCTCCACCCCCACGACGGGCGGGGTGCGGCGATTCTGTTCCTCCGGGCGCGAGATGACCACGCCCGCAGGCGTGGTGTCGGCGCCGCGTCAGCCCCGCGCGAGCAGGTCGAAGCCGGTGTAGCGGGCGATGAAACGCGCCCGGCCCTCGCGCTCGAAGGCGTCGACGTCCCAGTCGCCGGGCAGCAGGCGCGCCAGGAACTCGGGGCGGAAGCGGTACACCTGGGCCGCCAGCGCGCTGCCGTCGGCCAGCGTCACGGTGACGTCGGCCCGTTCGTACTGCTCGCCCTCGAAGGCATCGAGCCGCTGCCAGGCGGCGGCGGTGATGTCGCGGTAGAGCCGCCCGCGCAC